GTATTTTATATTTAATTTTTGTTCCTCGTAGGATTTTCTCACAGCTCGAAGAAAACACAGGTATGTCTATATTTTTTTTATATTTATTTACCGAATTTCCCTAAATTTTCCGATTTATCGATTCGATTATTTCAGATTCGATTTGAGGGTTTATTCGATTCTGAACTGAATAATAATGATCGAATTTCCCTTTCCCGATCCATCGTTTCAATATTTATTTTAAATTGTGGGGTTTTCTGGATTCAGATACTATGGTAAAGCAAATGACTTTTGTGGGAATTAAAATTTGGAATTTAGCTGGATTTTTAACTGTATTTGTTCTTTCATTGATAAATATTGATGCTTTGATTATTTTTTAATTTATATGGTTGGAAATGTTGAAATTGAATTGAAAAAAAAAATTATGAAATGTTTTTGTTGGTTAATTTGAACGCAAGTTTTGTTTGGATTGATGGGTTGTTGGTAAAATTATATGAGATTTAAATTGGTAATAATTACCAATTTTTATGGGTTTGATTGCAGAGAGGCATTGGAGATAATCGAAGATGTTAGAACAATTACTGATATTTACTAGAGGAGGATTAATCCTCTGGACATGCAAAGAGCTTGGAAATGCTCTTAAGGGATCTCCAATCGACACCTTGATCCGATCCTGTCTTTTGGAGGAACGGTCTGGTTTAGCTTCTTTCGATTACAGTGCCCCTGGGGCTGCTTACACGCTCAAATGGACCTTCCACAATGAGCTTGGGCTCGTGTTTGTCGCTGTTTATCAGAAGATTCTCCATCTGTTGTATGTGGATGAACTGCTTTCGATGGTGAAACATGAGTTCTCGGAGATTTATGATCCGAAAAGGACAGTCTATGCTGACTTTGATGAAACTTTTCGACAACTGAAGAAGGAGGCCGAGGCTAGGGCGGAGGAATTGAAGAAGTCAAAGCAGGTGGGTAAGCCTGTGAACAATAAGAAGCAAGGGCAGGTGCAGAAGACTGGACTTGGAGGAGACAAGAAAAAGAATGAAGGTGGTTTGGCAAGTGATGGCGGGGATGGTGATAATATGAAGGGCCGTAAATTGGAGAATGGGATCTCCAATGGTAATCACGTGGATTTCAAAGAATCTAATGGTACTGCTAACGGAAAAGAAAATACTAGTTCCAATCTTGGGGCTTTTGATGTAAATAAGCTTCAGAAACTTAGGTCGAAGGCTGGGAAGAAGACAGAGAAAACAGCTACTGTTGATAGCAAGGGCTCCAAGGCCGAGCCAAAAAAGAAGATAACAAAGAAGAATAGAGTTTGGGATGATAAACCTCCTGAGTCGAAACTGGATTTTACGGATCCTGTGGGTGAGAATGGAGACAACAATATTGAGGTCGTGGCAGCAGATCACGGTGAAAGTATGATGGACAAAGAAGAGGATTTCGGTAGTGAAAGTGAGGAGGAAGAGGAAGAGGATGTTGGGAAGGAAAGCAAGCCTGATAAGCAAAAGAAGGGGTGGTTTTCATCTATGTTCCAGAGGTAAATCTTTTGGAAATATAGGATATTTGTTATGTTAAATTGACTTTTTGAGTCGGTGAAACTAACTGCTATTGAGATGGCTCAACACTCTGAGTTTCTCTTTGTCTCGATAAATCTGAAATGGCTTATGTTTTCTTGTATTCCCAAGCCAGTTTCATCAGACTATTAGGTTGTTACATAATTTTTATGCATCTTTTACTTGTTTGTATTCAGTATTGCTGGCAAGGCAAACTTGGAGAGGTCTGACCTGGAACCAGCTTTGAAAGCTCTCAAGGATAGGCTCATGACCAAGAACGTGGTATGCTCTTGAACTACTCTATTTCCCATTACTAAGCTGAAGTTTATTTTATCAGTAACTTTCAAGTTTTTAGATTGCTGGTACAATCCTTTTCAATATTTATCACCTGGTGCTCCAGTATTTTCACTCTTATTGAGCCGTCTAATATGATTTTGTGCTGTTGCATTCGTAGGCCGAGGAGATTGCTGAGAAGCTTTGTGAATCAGTGGCAGCTAGTCTTGAGGGGAAAAAGCTGGCTTCGTTCACAAGAATATCTTCTACCGTGCAGGTTTGTCGATTAGTTCTCTTCATTCCTCCAATATCCAGTCTTCCAGTTTGGCCTCATTATTCATTTTTTATCATGTTATAAGATTAATATTGGGCCTGTAAAACTTACTGCAGACTGCAATGGAAGATGCCCTTGTTCGTATTTTAACTCCCAGGCGCTCTATTGATATACTGAGGGATGTGCATGCTGCCAAGGAACAAAGGAAGCCGTATGTCGTCGTTTTTGTTGGTGTCAATGGAGTGGGGAAATCTACCAATTTGGCTAAGGTTGAGCTGAATTCTTCTCTGTTTACGTTAAAGCATGCCTCTTTACTGATGGACCGATGGTTTTATTAACCAATTGCACCATGCAGGTTGCTTATTGGCTTCAACAGCATAACGTCAGTGTTATGATGGCTGCCTGCGATACATTTCGATCTGGAGCTGTGGAGCAGCTGCGTACTCATGCACGTAGACTCCAGGTATCATATCATATTACAGGATTCACATTCATTTGGGAAAGACTAATAATGGTTCTTTGGATAAAAACAATTTTTTCTGTCTTGACCTTCATAATTAACATGTAACCAAACCTTCCATCTCAGATCCCTATTTTTGAGAAGGGATACGAGAAAGATCCTGCAGTTGTAGCTAAGGAAGCAATCCAGGAGGCCACACACAATGGTTCTGATGTGGTTCTTGTTGATACAGCTGGTCGTATGCAGGTACCGTATTTCTAGTTCTATAGCTGAATGGATGAGCATCTCTATTTACTGTTTTTTTTATGTACATGCTAAGGTTATCTTATGATTTTACTATTTTTTGTTTGTTTTTGTTGCGCCTTTCAGGATAATGAGCCATTGATGAGGGCACTGTCAAAGCTTGTCAATCTTAACAACCCAGATCTTGTCTTGTTCGTTGGAGAGGCACTGGTTGGGAATGATGCCGTTGATCAGCTTTCGAAGTTTAATCAGGTTTGAGCTCCATATTCCTATTCTCGGTTTTTTCTAGTATTATCCAATTATCTTTGTTTCTGTATCATCATTTGCTTACTGGCTGGTTTCTGATTCCACCTTCCCTGTTCCTGCAGAAATTAGCGGACCTCTCAACTTCGCAAACTCCTAGATTGATAGATGGGATCTTGCTCACTAAGTTCGACACTATTGACGATAAGGTAGACAAACGTTTTCAATCTGCAATTGTCTATGATTATTACGTAATCTTGAGGATTTCTTTTCCCTTCACTGATTCCGTTGGTTCTAACTCAATTTGTGGGTGCGGCGTAGGTTGGGGCTGCGCTGTCCATGGTTTACATATCTGGAGCTCCCGTCATGTTTGTCGGGTGTGGGCAGTCGTACACTGACCTCAAGAAGCTGAATGTGAAATCTATCGTGAAGACACTCCTGAAATGAGAGACGTTATGCTGCCAAATTTCGTGATTCAAAGCATGCTGATGGTTTATGTTATGAAACTGTGTCCTGCAGTTTGCTGCTGTACCTTTAATTTGTATTGTTTCCGTTTGATGACCCTATGGTGGTGTTGAAAACTTTGGAGGTGAATCAGTCCTTTCGGCTGTAATTTAATGAATATCAGGTTTATTAGACGTTGTTCAAATTGCTCCTCTCCCACTCTCTTGAAGAATCCCCCAAAATTATTCATAAAAAGAAATTTAAAATTCTTTGGGTTTTTTAGCAAAAATGGTCTTCTCACTTTGGTTTCTGAGATTTGAAATCAATAGAATTGGTCGTCCACTATTAATCATTTTGGTCATTCTGTAAAAAAATCTTTATTAAATTGAGGATACATTTGTCATTTTGATCCTTATTTAACATAATTTTGTACGGAATGACCAAAATGATTGATAATGTGCCACTTCTATTGATTTCAAATCTCAAGGACCAAAGTAATGTGTTATACAAATCTAAATGACCATTTTGCTTAAAAAGTCAAATTCTTTGGTGGTCGGTTTAACTGTTAGATTTTAATTTTTGGTAGACGACTTTTTGGCGGCATAAAACTTATCATGTGTTATGTTTGGATGAGAGACTTTCATAGTGTTATGTTTAGACGAGAGACTTTCAAGTTTCTGAGTACTCAACTTTAGGCTGATTTTAAGTTACATTACAGAACACCGCTAATGAACTACTCGAGCAATATAAGATTACTCCTCAATTGTTTATTGCGCATTATTTTGGCTTGTTAATTGAATTTTACCAATTATAATTAATACTATGCAGACAATGACTGAATGACCCGGGCTATTAGAGTACCGGTGGCTTTTGTTCATAATTGGCATACAAAATCATCGATTCATTTACCTTTTAAAACAAGTAATCCAAGGGTATCACTTTTCTTACCAGACAAGTCCTTTCATATTCTTAATTATTCGAGTTCATAAACAAAGATAATCGTATTTGCCTACAAAAGGACAGGTAAACATTTGGGCTAACTGACTTAACTTACGTCTGTTTGAAAAAGACGTTTCTTGATTCTTCACTTGATTTTTATCCAAAATTGAAAAGTTATACAACTCATCATAAATACATAATTGCAGTTTTATTATCAAGATTGAAATGTAATCACACTCATTGGAAGGTAAAAGCCGTTTTAGATTTTTTTCTCTAAATAAATTGATTTCACATTTACAGTCAGATTTCAAACCTCACCAAAAGTCCCCTACACCAATCTTTTAACACTTACATATATACAAGGGAATAATGCTAGGGAGACCAAATTTTTTAAACTAAATTTGCAAATCAAATGATGTGCTGTTGATGATTGGATTATTATTTAACCGTTGATTAACGTGCTTGTTTCCTATTGGTGACACATAATTTAATTTGTAAATTTGATTTAAAATTTTGATTTCCCTAGCATTACCATATACAAGGACCAACGTAACAAAAACCCTACAACTTGAAAAATCATAGAGCAGAAGCAACAATGGCGTCCTCCATAAATATTGGTTTTGCAGTTTTGTCCTTTGTCTTTGTGTTATTTGCGTTGTATGAAGCCAAAGACATTCTGGTCGGAGATAAGGACATTTCTTGAAACGTTGATTCTGCCAAAGCCTTGATTCAGTGGGCTGAGCATAGACGATTCAGAATCGGCTATGTTCTCAGTAAGTTCTCCCCTTTCAATTCCCATCACCCTTATTTTCATATCTACTTAAAACGAAGATATTAATGTAGCGCTACTTTAAGTCAATCACTTACTTCTACGCTTTTAAACACTCTTACTCAATAATGTACTCTGATTGCATGCTAAAATCTGCTTATTTTCTTTTATTTTTGCTTAATGATATTAAAAACTGAAAACGAAATAGCTATAAAATGATGATAAGTGTGACATTTTTGTATTGGTGCCTGCAGAATGGAAAAAGGAGCAAGGGAGGGACTCCGTGGTGCAAGTGACAAAGGAAGCCTATGAGACCTGCGTCATTTCAAAGCCAATCAAAGCAGACGTGGAGGAGATCACGTTGAATAAGTCAGGACCATTCTGCTTCATCAGTGGTGTTAAGGAGCACTGTGACATGGGCTTAAAGCTCACGGTGGTGGTTCTGTCTGAAAAACATAAGTATGGTTCGGATTCTCCGTCGCCTGCTCCAGCTGCAGCTCCGTCGAGTAACGCTGCTGCTCGTGGTTTCAGTTTGAGTGCTGCGTTTATTGCGGTTGGGGTGGCAGTGGGGGGATGGCTTTGTTTTGAGCGTGTGAGAGTGAGTGAGAGGGAGAGAGATGTTAATTTGGATTAGCGAACCGTATTTTGTAGTTTAAATTGGCTTAGAGGTCCTGAATTATGTTCTCAATTAGCAATTTTATATCTATATATCATGTTTTTTATTGTGAAATTTAGCGTGAATACCAAATATGTAATTATACGAGGAAGCAAACAAATTAGACTTTGGTGGCAACCTTCCGAAGTCAGGAAAACTAATGAAAATGATTTGAAAACTTGAGTTTTAACGATAAAGACAAAATTAAGAGTGAAAGTAATGATACCAATATCTCTCCCCTCTCTTTACCTGCATCATTTGTGTGATACAATTACGAAAATAAACAGTATGATCCATTGCACTTTCTCCTTCTATGTCTAGCAAATATTATCTCTCACTTTTGTTTATTTATAACAGTTTTGTTATATTTATTGACAGATTCATGAATTTTTTATACACTGAAGTAAAAAAAAAGGTGAAAATAAAAGCAAAAGTTAAAGTTAAAATAGGTCTACTAATTCTTCTCCATCGTCGGATTGATTGACTAGCAAAATTCTTGCACCACATTGACTAGAAGAACCGGACTGGAACGATGCCGTTTAACATTGGAACGGATGAGACGGCATCGCATAACCGAAGCAACGGACTGATTATGAAAAACACGAACACAGAGCGAAAGCACATGGTCGTCGAAACGCTCTCTGCTGTCATCTTTGCTGCGAAAGCGAAAGCACTTTGCTTTCAGAAATAGATTGCAGCAGCTCTCATAGCTTCTCCCATGGCGCCGTAGCTTCATTCCACGGAAAAGGAACAACCTTTCTTCCTCCAAAAGTCGGCACTTTTCGGGCTTCCTTCAGTTCAAAATCAGAATTCCTGAATTCCCACCTGTACCCTTCTCTCACTTCCCTCGATTCTTTCCGATTTCAGGTACTAATCCCATTCCTTTTCAGAATTGATCAATTGGGTTGTCTGTAAATCTAGCATTTTCAGTTGGGGTTTCTGTAAATTTAGCGTATTTCAAATTTATTTAATTCTAGCAGCAGGGTTGCAATGTGCTGAAGATTTCAGTTTCAGTGAAGTCGAGAACTTCGAAATCATATGCATTGGTGGTGAGGAGTGACCACCGTCATCCCCAGAACTCCGACTTTCCGCAGCACTATTCGAAGAAGGAGAAGAAGTCCTTTCCGGTGCCAATTGTGGAGCTGAGACGGGCGGCGAGGGAGAGGCTTAAGAGCAACAAGGGAAAGCCTAGGACCCCAGTTCCACCTCTCAAAAATGGCTTGCTCGTGAAGACCCTTGTGCCGGTTGCGTATGATGTGTTTGATGAGAGAATTACATTGATCAACAATTTGAGGAGGCTTTTGAAGGTGGTTCCTGTGCAAGCTTGCAGGTTAGCTTGTGGAGCTTTTCTGAAATGAGTTTAATGGAGTTTGAGCTTTTTTTAATTTGGTTTGATCGAGTTTTGTAGCTTTAGGAGCTTTTTCAAGTTGGGTTGATGGACTTCCTAAAGCTTTTTCTTGAGTTGGGTTCAACGGAGTTTTCAGCTGTAGGAGCTTTTTCGAATTGGGTTTGATGGAGTTTTGTAGCTGTAAGAGCTTCTTTGAATTGGGTTTCATGAAGATTTTTCAGCTTCAGGAGCTTTTTCGAATTGGGTTTTATGAAGATTTTTTAGCTTTGGGAGCTTTTTTTATTTGTGTTTAAAGGAACTTACATAAATGGTGGTGGAATGAGGAGGTACAAGCAAAGGTGAAGGCTAAGAAGGAATGTTGTAAAGCCTTATACAAGGATAGGACCGATGAAAATGGTGAAAGGTATAGAAAAGCGAAGCAAGAGGCGAAGAAAGCTGTGAGAGAAGCTAAGTTAGCGGCTTATGACGATATGTATAAGCGACTAGATACCAAAGAAGGAGAGTTGGATATCTATAAACTAGCTAGAGCAAGGGAAAAGAAGACAAGAGACCTAAACCAAGTGAGGTGCATCAAGGATGAGGATGGAAAGGTTCTTGCTACAGAGAACGCGGTTAAAGACAGATGGAAAGGTTATTTTCATAATCTTTTCAATGAAGGACATGAAAGGAGTGCTTCTTTAGGGGAGTTGAGTAACTCAGAAGAGTGTAGAAACTACTCTTTTTATCGTAGAATCCGGAAGGAAGAAGTGGGTGTAGCTTTGAAGAAGATGAAGCATAGAAAAGCAGTAGGCCCAGACGATATACCAATCGAAGTGTGGAAAGTTTTGGGAGAGACAGGTATAACATGGCTCACTGACCTTTTCAATAGGATTTTGAAAACGAAGAAGATGCCGAATGAGTGGCGAATGAGCACTTTGGTGCCTATCTACAAGAATAAGGGCGATGTACAAAATTGCATGAACTATAGGGGTATTAAGCTAATGAGTCATACAATGAAGCTCTGGGAGAGAGTCATTGAGCATAGATTGAGGCAAGAGACACGGGTTTCGGACAACCAATTCGGGTTCATGCCAGGGCGCTCAACCATGGAGGCAATCTATCTCTTACGAAGATTGATGGAAAGATATAGAGATGGGAAAAAAGGATTTACACATGGTCTTTATAGATTTGGAAAAAGCGTATGATAGGGTCCCAAAAGACATTCTTTGGAGGATTTTAGAGAAGAAAGGAGCACGAGTAGCATATATCCAAGCTATACAGGATATGTATGAAGGAGCAAAGACTGCCGTAAGAACTCATGACGGACAAACCGAAAGCTTTCCCATAACTGTAGGTTTACATCAAGGCTCATCCTTAAGTCTTTACCTTTTTGCGTTGGTAATGGATGAGTTAACAGGACATATTCAAGGTGATATTCCTTGGTGTATGCTTTTCGCAGACGATATAGTGTTGATAGATGAAACTCAGGAAGGGGTAAATGCAAAGCTTAACCTTTGGGAGAGAAGTGTTGGAATCTAAAGGTCTTCGCCTAAGCCGATCAAAAACAGAATATATGGAGTGCAAGTTCAGTGCAAATGGAGGCCAAAACGAGTTAGGGGTGAGGATCGGAGATCAAGAAATACCAAAGAGCGACCGTTTTCGTTACCTAGGATCTATCTTGCAAAAGAACGGAGAATTAGATGGAGATCTCAACCATAGAATACAAGCTGGATGGATGAAGTGGAAGAGTGCATCCGGCGTGTTGTGTGACCGCCGTATGCCACTGAAGCTCAAGGGAAAATTTTATAGGACGGCAATAAAGCCGGCGATGCTGTATGGCACAGAATGTTGGGCGGTGAAGCATCAACACGTACACAAAATGGGTGTAGCGGAGATGAGGATGCTTCGTTGGATGTGTGGGCACACGAGAAAGGATAAGATTAGGAATGAGGATATCCGGGGTAAAGTAGGAGTAGCCGAAATTGAAGGAAAGATGAGAGAAAATCGGTTACGGTGGTTTGGACATGTGCAAAGAAGGCCCACTGACGCTCCGATTAGAAGATGCGACTATGGGACAGAGGTTCAGGGCCGAAGGGGCAGAGAGGAAGACCTAGGAAAACTTTGGAAGAGACCCTAAGAAAAGACTTAGAGTACTTGGATCTAACGGAGGACATGACACAGGACAGAACACAATGGCGTTCTAAGATTCATATAGCCAGATCCCACTCAGTGACTTGGATTTTCCAAGTCTCCAACCGAGAAGTTTTCCTCACTCGGGAAATTAAGGGAACACTACCTCAACCTATATGCTCCACTCACAAAGCTTCAACATACAAGCTTCAACAAAAGAAAATTCAAAGAACTTAGCGAAGAAGGCTTTGGTGTATTTAACACAATACGTTGAAATGAAGGAAAGCTTATTTATTGATATCCCCGATAAGTTACAAATATGTACATATACTTGAGTCAAAATAAACAAACAAGAGGGAGCCTTCACAAAGGTTGCTTAGGAGAAGTCTCAGCAGTCGGTAGAGCCCCAGAAAGAGAAGGCACCGGAGGGGGATCATTCGGAGCCTCAGTACTGGACAAAACCCTAGAAGGAGGAGGCATCAGAGGTTGATCATTTGGAGCTTCATTACGCGGTACAGCCCCAGAAGACGAAGGCAATAAATGCCTTTGGAACAAACCCACAAATCTCTGATGATCAAGTAAAACCTGACCATCAGATTCCTTCATCTGGTCAAGCTTCCTCTTCATGTTTGTAGCATAGTCATGTGCGAGCCGGTGCAACTGTTTATTCTCATGCTTGAGCCCTCTAATCTCCTGTTTGAGACTCATCACTTCAGCCGCCAATGATTCAACTTGGCGGGTTCGAGCAAATAGGCGTTGGGCCATATTAGACACAGAACCTGCACACTGAACACTGAGAGCCAGAGAATCCTTAACAGCCAACTCATCAGACCGTTTGGAAAGTAGTCTGTTATCTTTGGGAGTGAGAAGGTTCCTGGCCACTACCGCAGCGGTCATATCATTCTTCATCACGGAATCCCCAACGGTAAGAGGACCAGTAGGGGAGACGAAGGATGGGCGCCATATGTTGTCTGGAGAAGGCGGGGCTGCCTCTTCAACAAGGTTCAAGTCAAAACGACGGTCGGAGGGGCCAGACATTTTCAAAGGTGTTGAAGAGAGAAGAGGTCGGACAAATCAAGATCTTAGAAGTGCAAGAATGGAGCTTCTACTGGTGGATATTCAAGTGTGCTTTGGAACTTAATGTCAGCCCCTATAAAAATCTGCACTCGACGAAGCTTCAGAAATCGAAGAGGCGCCTGCTCAGAAATCGAAGAGGCGTTTGCTTTCTCAAAAGCTGGGCTGCTCAGAGACCACGAGGGTCGATCTCAGAAATCGAAGAGGTGTTTGCTTTCTCAAAAGCTGGGCTGCTCAAAGACCACGAAGGCCGATCTCAGAAATCGAAGAGGCTTCGCTTTCTCAAAAGCTGGGCTGCTCAGAGACCACGAGGGCCGATCTCAGAAATCGAAGAGGCACCTACTTTTCCAGCCTTGTCAGCACCTGTCACACGCACACTCAGCTTTGCGGAAATTATGGGCATTCTGTCGAAGATTTCTGGCGAAGTAGAAAGCACATGAATCGTACTGTTCAATCACCCACTTCCCACACGCAACAGTAGCTCATGGGTACCACAGATAACTTTGCCAAAGTTCTCTGACAAAGTTGAGACACGTGAAGCTTGCAGCTCCCACTACATCGCTCTGACCAAGAAGGGTAAAAGAATTGCAAAGAAACAACACTAACAAAGTTTAGACACATAAATTTTGAAGGTCTAGCTACCATATTATTACCCACAAGGGTAAAGGAACAGTACCACTGCTGGATAATTGGAAAGTCCCGGTGTGTCAACCTCTGTGCTTCGTGGCAAGGTAGACTAGCAAACATGCCCAACCTTTACTCACATTCGAGAAAACACTCCCAACAAGATTGCTTGCTCCAAAATCGAAGAGGCACCGCCCTCCGAATCTCGAGAGCCAGACTCCCAACATGATTACTTTCTCAAAAATCGAAGAGAAGGTAAAGGAACAGTACCACTGCTGGATAATTGGAAAGTCCCTGTGTGTCAACCTCTGTGCTTCGTGGCAAGGTAGACTAGCAAACATGCCCAACCTTTACTCACATTCGAGAAAACACTCCCAACAAGATTGCTTGCTCCAAAATCGAAGAGGCACCGCCCTCCGAATCTCGAGAGCCAGACTCCCAACATGATTACTTTCTCAAAAATCGAAGAGAGGGTAAAGGAACAGTACCACTGCTGGATAATTGGAAAGTCCCTGTGTGTCAACCTCTGTGCTTCGTGGCAAGGTAGACTAGCAAACATGCCCAACCTTTACTCACATTCGAGAAAACACTCCCAACAAGATTGCTTGCTCCAAAATCGAAGAGGCACCGCCCTCCGAATCTCGAGAGCCAGACTCCCAACATGATTACTTTCTCAAAAATCGAAGAGACACCGCTCTCCGAATCTCGAGAGCCAGACCCCCAGCAAGATTGCTTTCTCAAAAATCGAAGAGGCATCGTTCTCCGAATCTCGAGAGCCAGATCCCCGACAGGATTGCTTGTTTGAAAACCGAAGAGGCACCACTTTCCCAACTTCAAGAGCTGGATCTCCTTGGATAAAGCTTGTCTGTAATCTTCACACGCAACATCAGCTTTCCAGATACCACAGACCACTTTTTCAAAGTGCTCTGACAGAGTTAAAACATGTGAAGCTGGCAGCTCCCACTACCGTGCTATAACCAAGCAGGGTAAAGGAATAGCATTATTACTTGATGTTAGGGAGACTCCTATATATGTCGACCTCCATCCCTAACGGACAGGCAGACCTGCAAAAATGCTCAACCCTTTCTCTTATCTGAGAGGGCACTCCCAACGAAGCCTTTCGAAATATTCAGCTTTCTTTCCCCCCGATAATACCTCTGTAAACAAGCTATACTAGAGCAAGAATATCTCATATCATCAGGGTTAAAAGCAAGAGTATCCCATATCATGCTTTTTCCCTGTCTTTTCCTTTGGCCTTGTTCTTACCTGCAAGACAAGGAGAAAGAGAGCAATCAGTCAGCACTTGGAATCAAGCTTCCAGCCAGGAACTGACTGCCTGGAACCCCTTACCTGATTACTTACCTGGCATTGCTCTCGAGTACTCATCTTCAACATCTTATGCTTCCAGGGAAGATACCGCATCTGCCTGAGGAACAGATAGGGCAAGTGAGAAGGATACAAGGAAGCATGTGGAGACAAGCGTAACAGCACACGTGCCGATACATCCACTACTCTGTCAAAAGCAAAAGTATCCCATATCAGCAGGGTCGAACGTACTCTAGATTTGATGGACTTGTTTTGACCCTTCAAATTCTTCAGTCGGCCTTATACTCTGGAGGAAACCAGAAAACCCTCCAGCCCAGTTCAAGAATAAGCCTGTGGAAAGTTACTTCTTCAAAAGCAAAAGTATCCCATATCATCTCTCCTCATTTTTCTTCTCTTTATCCTTCATGCTGCCTGCAAGATAGGGAGAATGTGAACAATCAGCCGGAGCTCTGATTGCTTACCTTGTCTGTCACCTCTTTCAGCAGATCCCCTAGCTCGGCGACTTGGGGGACTCCTACTACATGGTTTGTATCGCGCTTGACCAAGCATGAAACTACAAGTAAGCTTCAAGTGAAATTGATACATTACCTTGTGCATCTCCACCAGTTACAGATACCACCCCTGGATGGAGGAAGAGTACTTCCAGAGAAGATGCCACATCTACCTATGAGACAGATAAGGCAAGTCAAGACGATACCACACTCCGGTACTTAGAAGTTTCGTGGCTACGAGATCATTCTCCCACAATATTTCCTAATGTCATTTGTACTAAATCATTCACTTGTACTCACTAAAGGAGAGCTTGAACCTATGTACTTGTGTAAACCCTTTCACAATTAATGAGAACTCCTCTATTCCGTGGACGTAGCCAATCTGGGTGAACCACGTACATCTTGTGTTTGCTTTCCTATCTCTATCCATTTATATACTTATCCACACTAATGACCGGAGCAATCTAGCGAAGATCACAAAAAGTGACCGTTTTCGCTACCTAGGATCTATCTTGCAAGAGAACAGAGAATTAGATGGAGATCTCAACCATAGAATACAAGCTGGATGGATGAAGTGTAAGAGTGTATCCGGCGTGTTGTGTGACCGTCGTAGGCCACTGAAGCTCAAGGGAAAATTTTATAGGACGGCAATAAGGCCAGCGATGTTGTATGGCACAGAATGTTGGGCGGTGAACCATCAACGTACACAAAATGGGTGTAGCGGAGATGAGGATGCTTCGTGGGATGTATGGGCACACGAGAAAGGATAAGATTGGGAATGAGGATATCTGAGGTAAAGTAGGAGTAGCTAAAATTGAAGGAAATATGAGAGAAAATCGGTTCCGGTGGTTTGGACATGTGCAAAGAAGGCCTACTGACGCTCCGGTTCGAAAATGTGACTACGGGACAGAGGTTCAGGGCCGAAGGGGTAGAGGAAGTCCTAGGAAAACTTTGGAAGAGACCCTAAGAAAAGACTTGAGTACTTGGATCTAACGGAGGACATGACACAAAACCGAGCGCAATGGCGTTCTAGGATTCATATAAAAGCCGACCCCACTTAGTGGGAAAAGGCTTTGTTGTTGTTGTTGTTGTTGTTGAAAATTTGAACTTGTGCAGGTTCTGTAATGAAATTCATGTGGGGCCTGTTGGGCATCCATTCAAATCATGTAAAGGTGCAAATGCTAACATTCGTAAGGGTGTTCATGAGTGGATACCAAATGTGACCGTTGATGACATATTCTTGCCAGTTGAAGCTTTCCACCTCTATGATCGACTTGGAAGACGTATTCCTCATGAGGAGAGATTCTCAACTCCTAGAGTTCCAGCAATAGTTGAGCTCTGCATCCCGGCTGGGGTTGATGTCCCGGAATATCCCACTACAAGGAGAAGAAAGCCAATCATCCGAATTTTGAAGGGTGACTTTGTTGATGCAGATGAAAGTGAGCTACCAGATCCTGACAGTGAAGCACCCAAGAGACCAGTTTTGACTGAAATATCAGATTCGGAGGTAGTAGCCCCCACTGATGAAGAAGAAACAACCTTGCTTACTGAGGAAACACTACGAGCATGGGAGCAAATGAGGAGAGGAGCCAAGAGGTTGATGAAGATGTATCTGGTGAGGGTTTGCGGGTATTGCCCTGAGGTGCATGTTGGTCCTAGTGGGCACAAGGCTCAGAACTGTGGGGCCTTTAAACACCAACAACGAAATGGGCAGCATGGCTGGCAGACGGCCGTGCTCAATGACTTGATACCACCAAGATATGTGTGGCATGTCCCAGATGTGAATGGATCACCATTGCAGTGGGAGCTCAGGAACTTCTATGGGCAAGCCCCTGCGGTTGTCGAAATGTGCATTCAGGCGGGAGCTGCTGTTCCAGAGGAATACAGACCAACCATGAGGTTGGATGTCGGGATTCCCTCCACTATTAAAGAAGCTGAAATGGTAGTTTGATGAGATGAGTAGTTTGTAAGTAGAATATCGAAAGAAGGAAAACTTCTTGCAGATGATTTGTTTGTTGTACCAACTTACTTTGCTTTTTCATCCCAAACGAACGAAAATTTACAGTCGCTCACCCTTCTACTTTTACCCAAGGAAATCTGACAAAATGTAATAATTCACCATCTTAACATGTGGTTTGAACAAAAGGCTTCCATTTAAGCTTCAAAGCTCTTATATACATTAGTTGATACCGATTTTGATCTCTTTGTATGGGCTCGAATAAGTTCTCTTTTCCGGTAGATCTGTACTCCATGTAAAGATAGAGGATATTAAAACCCTCCTTTGTCAAATCTTGCAGTTTTTCAGCAGTGCAGCATTGTTTCTGGTTGATTGTTTCTTTGTATTTACAGTTTTTTGCTACTTGTGTGTGCTTGCTCGGTGTCTTGGTTCTCTCGGTTTGCTGCATACAGCGGCCTTGAAGTTCTTTTCTCTATACTCGTCGGGGTTTTTTATTTGCCTCCCAGCTTCCTTTGGGGTCAGTTTTCTGGGATTCTCATATGGCTGCTGTGTTCCTCAATCATCTATGCTACTATGCAGGTTCTTTATAATTTGGTTTAATTATTCATTGTTCTGTCTTTTGGGATCTTAGTTTAGTGTTTTGTTGTGCTTTGATCCCTCGAGTCTTGACTCTTGATGACTCATAGGTCCCCT